GTGAATATAATTCAGAGGAACACAGGAATATTTTTAAGTCTTCTGGGCTTTGATGAGACAGCACCCTAACCAACTACTGACGTCGAGGTAAAAGGAAGGTGAACACACTCTCCCTGGAAGCGGGGGTCTTGTTCACCTTGACGACTGACTCAGGGCCAGCATACGGAACACAGCAGGTGCACAGTGGGTGTGCGGTATTTGCTGAATGCTAAACAGATGAGCCTGTGTGCCACTTCCTTTGTAGTTCTGGGGGAAGCCAGATGGGGTCTTTGAGAGTTTAGGGGACTTTGTGAGAATCACTGTTTATTCAGCAGCTCATGTCAACAAAGTTATCACTCAGATGAGAAGCTGGAGCAAAAAAATTAATTTGCTTCAATAATTGGTCACTGATCAATTCTGTTTTATTCTCACCAATGTTATAAATAGCGCAGATTTATTATCGAGAATAATTAACTCTTTGGCTATAGTCCTTCAGATAGCTCTTCCATGTACAACCTCCACTTTCTGGCCTCAGTGCTGTTCTCTGGCTAAGATGACCAACCGGTGACCTTGAGTGGCCAAGTGTAATGGTTGCATCACATTTGGTGCACACAGCCTGTCCTGCTCCTCCCTGAGCATCCTGTCACATGTCTCCTTCCTCCCCTTCAGGGTACAGCTTTAATTCTGCCAGTTTCTTCTTCTTCTCTTTTTTTAAAGATTTATTTTATTTTCATTATAAAGTCAGATATGCAGAGAGGAGGAGAGACAGAGAGGAAGATCTTCTGTCCGATGATTCACTCCCCAAGTGAGCGCAACAGCCGATGCTATGCTGATCCGAAGCCAGGATCCAGGAACTTCCTCTGGGTCTCCCATTTTGATGTAGGGTCCAAGGTTTTGGGCCGTCCTCGACTGCTTTCCCAGGCCACCAGCAGGGAGCTGGATGGGAAGTGGAGCTGCCGGGATTAGAACTGGCACCCATATGGGATCCTGGCATGATTATGGCGAGGACTTGAGCCACTAGGTCACTGTGCTGGGCTCGCCAGTTTCTTCTTAACCTGGCACATTTGTCTTAACCTGGCACACCCTTTGCCTACTTCTCTCTTAACCTCTCTGTGAGGTCATCTGCTTCAATGGCTTTAAACAGTATTACGCCTACAACTCCTAGTACCTGCCCTTTCCTGGGCTCCAGTCCCATCAGTTTGCTTGTGGTCTCTCTGCCCCTAGAAATTTCACACAAATCAGAATAAAAACAACTCTCACTTTTCAGCCTCTATACTTTTCCGTTCCTATGTTCCTTGCCACAGATGCTCAATTGTCCAGCAAAGCACCTGGGCAATGCCTGGGTCACAGTGACACTGCACTTCCACATCCCTATCTGATTTTTCTTGCCACGTGTTCAGCTTCCTGCTTTTCTCTCCCTTGCCCCTGGCACTACCTTCCCTTAATGCAGTCTGCTTTCTCCTCCAGATATTTCCTCATGCTCTTGCTCATCTCCTATCTAAAGTGTTCTTTTTCAATTCAAATTTTGTTGTAATTAAAACATTCTCTTTTGGGCCCTCCCCCGCATCCCCGGTGTGATGGCTAAGTGGCTAAAACTTGGCCTAGAATGCACCAGCAACCCATAGGGATATTGATTAGTGTCTGGGCTGCCCCACTTCCCAACCAGCTCCCTGCTTGTGCCCTGGGAAAGCAGTTGAGGATGGCCCAAAGCCTTGGGACCCTGCATCCATGTGGGAGACCTGAAAGAGGTTCCTGGATCCTGGCTCCTGGCTCCTGGCTTTGGATTGGCACAGCTCCAGCCACTGCAGCTACTTGGGAAATTAATTAGCGGATGGAAGATCTTTCTATATTTCCTTCTCTCCTTAAATTTGCCTTTCAAATAAAAATAAACAAACAAAACCAATTTATCCCGCTTAAAACCACCCAATGGCTTCCCACTGTTTTTAGGATAACGCCACAGTTCTTTAGCACCCAGCCTGGTGGGTTCTTGCTCTTTCTTTCCAGACATTTTCGTTTGGGCTTTGATGGCATCTATTAAGTCATTGACATTTTACTAAAAAGAATCTGAGCAAACCCTCCTTGAAGCTGGAAGCCTAGATTCCCTTGGTGACTGACTTGGAACAGATAACACATAGCGGGAGTGATGATGCAGAACTTGCTGAAGAGTTACTCAGTTCCTACCAAAATATCTCATGACAGGCTTCAATAGATTGAATGAAGAAAATCAGCTCAAGGTGACCTTGAAACATTCATCCTGCTGAAAGCTTCAAACAAAACACTCCTACATTTCCAGGCCAAGTGACTTTTGTTTATCATTTAAAGCTGGCCCTCCTTACTCAACACTTATCAAAAGATGTTTTGAAATAACCTCTGTTACCACGGCACCACTGTTTATCAGAGAATTGTTCAAACTGAAACCATGCTTCTTCCCAAGGCCAAGTGAAGTCACTAGACTTACATGTGATTCCCGGTCAGCAGGCCCCACAATTTTCTAGATCAGTCAAAGAGAGAACAGGGCCCCATATACAGGTTCCCTTTTCCACTGTGTTAAGCACTGGTGTTAACATAAAATAAACCAACTCCTACTCATGCCACATCTACCTGTGTATTTCAATTTCAAAAAGAATGTTTTAGCAACAACTAGAGGTCTATAAATTTGGAATAAAGCCTAACATAAGAAACAACCAGTTTTATGTTTTTCTCTCTTTGAAGAGCTGTGAAAGCAGCTTTGCAAACTAACACCAGGGGTTGCACTAGATTTTGACAACTCCTGTTATAGGTAAGAGCTACTAAATTCATCATCAGGCAGTTGGCTTTTCTTATTTTAAAAAAAGCTTTTAAAATACGTTCGTCCTGGGCCCAGCATGGTAGCCTAGCAGCTAAAGTCCTCACCTTGCATGCACCAAGATCCCATATGGGAACTGGTTTGTGTCCCAGCAGCCCTGCTTCCCATCCAGCTCCCTGCCTGTGGCCTGGGAAAGCAGTAGAAAATGACCCAAAACCTTGGGACTCTGCACCCGCATGAGAGACCTGGAGGAGGTTCCTGGCTCCTGGCTCCGGATAGGTTCAGCTGTGGCTGCTTGGGGAGTGAACCAACAGATGAAAAATCTTCCTCTCTGTCTTACCTCCTCCCTATATATCTGTTTTTACAATAAAATTAAATAAGTCTTTAAAAAAAAAGTTTGTCTTGGGGCTGGTGTTGAAGTATAGTGGGCTGAGTCTTTACTCATGCTGCCAGCACCTATGAGTCCTATCTCTGGGATGCCTTACTTCACCTCCTTACTAATGCACTTGGGAAACCAGCGGAAATCGGCCCAAGTCCTGGGGATTGTCTCTATGTGGGAGACCTGGAAAGTTTCTGGCTCCTGACTTTGAATCAGCTCAGCTCTGGCTACTGTGGCCACGCAGGGATGGGAGACCTCTTTGTCTCAGTCTCTCCTTGTCTCCCAGTACCTCTGACTTTCAAATAAAAAAAAAAAATTAATCTTTGAAAAAAGAAATGTTTGCCTGAAAAAAGGAAGGGAAAAACAAGTAAACCGTGATGTCAGAAATAACCTCAGCTTTACAGCAAAACCTCAGTATTACTCTCACTTGGTCTGACACTCACAGCCAAGCTATTTCTTGTTCTCTTGAGCGTAAAGTCAAAGCAAGGGCTACTCCAAGATTCCCACCGAATGCAGGCAAGAGCAAAGGCACCGTAGAATACACAAAATACCAGCTATTCTGCTCTTTTGCCAGATGAGGGACTATTAACTTCTTCACCAAACTTCAGAACTGTCTCACTTTCTGCAGGCATTCAACCAAAACCAAGTCCTATTTCTTAGTCTGCCCCAAACCACACAACCCCAGTCATGATTGCGTAATGAATTATTTCTATGCCATGGTATGGGTTCTCTCGGTTTAAAAGATTTACACTAACTCTAATTTATTCGACTTCTAATGCAGACCTAGTTCTCTTATGGAATTGATAGCACTTAAAGTACGAAATTCTTTTTTTTTAATCCCATAATGCTAAATGCTCTTAGCGACTTAATTTCTGACAGACACTAAAGTAACCTTTAACCTTTCTGTGTAGAAGTATAATTAGGATCCTGAAGGACATAACATCCCAGAATCTGCTTTTGTTTCAAGTTAGTTTTTAAAGGCTGGATTATACCCCACCATGATTTTTATTCACATGGCACTTCCCTTATGGGAATAAACGCAGTTATGATCAACAGTAAGTATGCGGTACAACTATGTACCAAAGCCCAGATCATGCCCCGGAGCCTCGGGTCAGACGCTAGCAGGTTCCTAATTATCTGACCTATCGCCAAAGAAACACGTAGTGTTAACTGCTTTTAATGAGCTCACTTGTGAAAGCGTTCCAGACTGGGCGTCCAGAGGTTGGATTTAGGAATGCTTCAGTAAGCAACACTGTGACCTGTGGCTAGGGTTTTCTCGCTCTAGGTCTACTTCCTCCTCTGTAAAATGAACGAGTCACGCTGGTCCCTCACTGTCTCCTGGCCCTGTGACTGGCCTGCGGGCGAGAGCCGTTGGCACAGAGGTTCGCTCCCGCGACTGGCACTAAGGCCACAGCAGGCACGTTAGGACTTGCTCCTGGTTGGCATCTCGCCAAGCCATGCGACAGCAGGGCAGGTTTTTGCAAAGAAATTCCTTCAGGAGAGAAAGCACCTGATGACGAAAATCGACAGCACTCACGCTGGGTGGATGCTGGATGGCCCTATATGCAAGGCCAGCAGAACTTTTCCCTTTTCACCGTTGTGAATGCCAGACCCTGGGACGACCACTCCCACCGGAGGAGGTGCGAATCACACCCTCAACCCTCCTACGGACATCACTTCCCTGAGAGATGTCCTGGGTCCAGCTGACAACCCATCCAACCCAGGGGGCATCCGGAATGACAGGCCCGCGCAAAGATGCTGCCTTGGCCCGGCCGCTCCGCACCTGCCGGCCGCCCCGCCCCGTCCCGCCTGCACCTGCGCGCTGCCCCGAGCGCGCCTCCTCTCGAGTTCACTCACCGGCGGCGCGTGCTGCGCCAAGGCGCAGGTGACTGCCGCCGCCAGGAGAATACAGGTGAGGGGACTCCGGCCCGGCATCGTTCCACCGGCGCCCGCCGCGAGCGACGCCTGCGGAGGCCGCGCAAGGTACCACCTGCCGGGGAAGGGGCAGGCGAGCAGGCCGCGTGACTCGCGGCCCAGGACCGCACCACACGAGGAGGGGGAGAGGCCTCCCTGCCGCCGCGGGGACCCGTGTGAGGAAGCGGATGTTTCTCGGCGCTCCACCCCCTCGCCCCGCGCGCGGTGGTTGGACCCTGACGGAGCCCCGCCCCGGGGCGTGGCCTCGGGACCTCGTCCCCCCCCCTCCCCCGGCGGGCCGGGGGCCGGGCTCGGGCGCGTCCTGTGGTCCGCTCGCCGCCTGCGCCCTGACGCCTGCGGGCCGGCCGAGGTCCCCGCAGCGCGCAGTCCGGCCTCTGCCCACCCTTGCCCTTCGCCTGACTGCGAGGTCCCGGGCCGAGGAGCGCTGGCAGGGGCAGGGGCCAGGGGGCGTCTCCTCCCTGTGAGCCCCGCGTGCAGCCGACCCCGCGCACTGTTTCAGCTGTTTGCCCTTAGACTCGGGTGGGGGGACCAGGGGAGAAGGGGCGGACCCCGTTTCACAGACGTGGCCGGCCTCTCAGCAGCTGGGTGTATTCCGGTGAGTCCTAGGAGATTTTAGTTTGGTGTGGCTGCGGTGATCTGGGGGCCGGGTAAGTCCTGGGGAACAGACGGGCGGGAGGACAGCTCTTGCTGACCCTTCTTGCCACCCCGTGGACCGGTTAGCTGGGGGCTGACAGGAAGTCCTGCCCTCTGGGGTGCGCTTTCTGGTTGAGCCTGACATCCCAAGGAGCACTTTCCCCACGTTTCAGTAAAACTCAGAATGCTGTTCACAGAAGTCTTCCTATGTCTTCTTCCACGTATGTGTGTGAAATCGCAATTTCGTTAGTTTGTATTACTTCTTTAAAAAAAACTCAGGTATTCTAAGATGTTGGGAATGACGATTTGATACCCCTCCCCCCCACTGTTCTATTTAAGGAGGAAGTTTTACTTGTGAAACAAGCAGATGATGAAGGCATATTTGGGTTCCTGCTTCAGCTGTACTCTACATGGGCAGATCATGAAAACTTTCACTAGTAATTTAAGAAAGATGTCCTGGGGATCTGCAGTGTACAGGTTGTTTTTCTGGGGGTAAAGAAGGAGATGACAGCAACAAAAATCTCCCATGAGGCTTACATTGCAGGTGAGCTATGTCAGAAAAGTAATAAAAGCAGGGCTCAGGAATTGGCCACGAGCAGGCTGGGAATGGAGAGTGCTGCGTTTTGAACAAGCCCAGCAGGACAGACGCTGCTGAGAAGTACGCATGCCCCACAGGGTAGTCGAGGAAGGGGAAGCAGCAGGAGCGGAGGTTTCAGAGTGAGAATGTGAATGCATGTGACTGGATCAGAGGGAGTAAAGAGAAAGACAGTGGATGACAAAGGGGCGAGGGGGAGGGCAGATATGACTAGGTGGTTAAGCTTCACCTTGGGGGAAATGTGTAATGTAGAATTACACATCTTTATGTTGAATTACCTGGAGGTTATGGTAAGTCTGTGCTGGGCCCCAGCACGGTAGCCTAGTGACTAAAGTCCTCATCTTGCACGCGCCAGCATCCCATATGGGCATCAGTTCATGTTTCAGCTGTTCTGCTTCCCATCCAGCTCCCTGCCTGTGGCCTGGGAAAGCAGTAGAAAATGACCCAAAACCTTGGGGCTCTGCACCTGCGTGGGAAACCGGAAGAAGTTCCTGGCTCCTGGCTTTGGATGGGCTCAGTTTGGCCCATTGCAACCACTTAGGCAGTGAATCAACAGAAGGAAGATTTCTGTGTTTCTCCTCCTCTATGTGTCTGACTTTCCAGTAAAAAACAAAAAAACAAAAAAAAAAAACTTAAAAAAAATAAGCCTGTGAGAGATGATTCCAGTTTTAGTAGCTATTGTTGAATCAAATAACTTTGATTTGAAATCACTTATGGTCAACGCTACTCGGAGTAACTTCAATGTGCCAGTAAACAGATTCTCCCAATCAGAGGATATTTATTGGTAGTCAGGTAGTCTTGCAAAACCAGATTCTTTATGCAGACTTAAGTCAACTGGCATAATATATTTCTAAAGAAATAAAGATGCACTTATTTATTCGAAAGTCAGTGTTACACAGTGGGAGAGACAGATCTTCCATCTGCTGGGTCACTTCCCAAATGGCAGTAATGGCCAAAGCGGGGCAGGTCCTAAGCCAGGAGCTTTATCTGGATCTCCTATGAGGGTACAGGGGCCCAAGGACTTGGATCATCCCTCTGCTGCTTTCCCAGGCACATCAGCGTGGACCTGAATTGGAAGTGGTGTAGCTAAGACTCCAACCAGCACCCGTATGGAATGCCAACATCATAGCAGCTTTACTGGCTGTGCTATAAATGCTGTGTCCAGCATAATAATCTTATGCACACTCTTATATAATTATTTATTCAACTTTCTGAGGCCCAACTGAAGTTCCCTAAAATTAGGCCATTTTATGTGCTTTTTTCTTAAACATCCATTGTTTTGCCTACGTGGTTCTCCTGTAGTAGTAGTAGCAACGGACAGAAGGCAGGGTGTGTGGCTGCTGCAAACTGCCATGGTTTTCAACACACTGACCTATTCATAGAAAATGGTATTTAAATGTACAAATGAGTGATTGTGTCTTTGTGAAGGGTGGTTCAAATGGTAAATAGAAGTATCAAGTTTAAAACTGGGATAACCTGTTTAGTATGCAAGAGTCAGCATAAGTAATAAGATTGTTTATGGGAATAGCTGAAGTTCTTGGCAAGGTATGGACTTCCCAATCTCCTACCTAACATTCCTAGGTTCTTGAGGTGGAGCCTTGCTTTAAAATCACTGCAGCCAAAGCACCCCACCCTAACTGAAGTCTGCACGTATAAAACCACGTAATCCAGGACAGGTATGACTTGATTTAGTAAAAAAAAGTATTTAAAAATTTGTACTAGAAGGTCAAGAAGTATGGAGATTACATTTCAGTTTGAAAGTAACACAAGTGGGGCCATCGTGGTAGTATAATAAGCTAACCCTCTGCCTGCAAACACAAGCATCCAATATGGGTGTCAGTTTGAGTTCTGGCTGTTCCACTTCTGAACCCGTTTCCTGCTTATGGGATGAGAAGGCTGCAGAGAATGGGTCCTTGGGTCCTGCACCTGCGTGGGAGACCCTGAAAAAGCTCCTGGCTACTAGCTTCATTTGAGCTCAGCTCCTGCAGTTGCAGCCTTTTGGGAAATGAACCAGCAGATGGAAGACCTCTCTGTAAATATCTGCCTTTCACATAAAAATGACTAAACCTTAAAAAAAAAAAATGGCAGAGCCTGGGGTGATAGCCTAGCTGCTAAAGTCCTCGCCTTGAATTTGCCAGGATCCCATATGGGTACCAGTTCTAATCCTGGCAGACCCTGCTTCCCATCCAGCTCCCTGCTTGTGGCCTGGGAAAGCAGTCAAAGACAGCCCAAAGCCTTGGGATACTGCACCCACGTGAGAGATATGAGGGGAGAAACCAACCACTCAACTGCCTCTCAATAGCCTCTCAACCGCCTCAGTACCTGGGGATGGGGAACAGTCACCAGATGTCATTCCAGAGTCCCCAAAGTGGAGCATTTCTGAGATGATGTCTCCTGTCTAAAGAAACACTAGGACTAAACAGTCTGTGGTTTGAAGGTCAGGATTTCTGCTCTGCAATTGGGGCAATTGTCCTCTCTCTTCTAATAGGACAGAGGAAGTTAGTTCTCATGGCTGCTGGCATTCATGCTATAAACTGAAGGGAGCTGCCTTAGATGAAACAGATACCATGGACAGCACAATAGAAAGATGAAAGGAAACTGGGTCACTGATGACATTGTTAAGATGCTAGATTAAATAAGCACGGAGCCTGTCCAACAACTGGACTCTTCATTTCCATGAGCCACTACTCTTCTCTATTACTAAATCCAGTTGGGGTTGGTTGGTTTGCAAGTTGAATGATTGTGTCTGATAGCATCCTAGCTGGTATGCACATAAGTTCCCCCCTTTCTTAACAGAAGAGGATGTACTACAATTCTTGAGACTGGCATTGTGGCATAGCAGATAAAGGCCCTGCCTGTGACACCTGCAACTCATATGGGCACTGGTTTGTGTCCCAGTTGCTCCCCTTACAATTCAATTCTCTAATAGCAGCTTGGGAAAAATAGAGGAAAATGACCCAAGCATTTGCACCACTGCCAACCTATGTGGAGATCCAGATGAAGCTCCTGGCTCCTGGCTTTGTCCTGGCTTAGGCCTGGCTGTTTCGGCCATCTGGGGAGTGAACCAGCAGATGGAAGAGCTTTCTCTCTCCATCTCTCTCTGTAACTGTAACACATGCACAAGAATCCTTCCATATGCTAGTTCACTCCCCACATGTTCAGAACAACGGGGACGAGGTCAGGCTGAACCCAGGAGCCAGGAATAACTGAGTCTCCCATCTGAGTAACAGGAACCTAAGTAGTTGGACCATCTTCCACTGTTTCCCAGGTATATTGGCAGGAAGATGGGTTAAAAGCATGAAGTAATAAGGACTTGAATCTGGTACTCCAACATGGGATGCAAGTGTCCCTAAGAGGGGGCTTAAACTGCTGTGTCACACCTGTACCAAAAGAACCTTTATTTTCTGTGAGCTAACATGTGCTATCCATTCTCCAGTCTTCTTTGTCTCGGTAATGGCAATTCCATTTTTCCAAAGTTGGCTGAGACTTAAAATCTTAATGTCATCTTTGACTTATTTTTATATCTTACCACACACACATCACAGAAATATATCTTACTGATTTTATCTTCAAAATATTTTCTATTCAGAATCTAAACATTTTTCAACACTCTTTCTGCCTAGGTTCCAGTTACTCTAATATAGATTGCTTCTGTTGTCTCCATTCATCTTTTCTCCACCTAGATCATGTGACTCCTTTCCTCAGAAACCTCCAATGACTCTCCAAGCCATATTCCTATGATAACTATGGAACAGTTAAGATTTGGCTAGTATCCCAGTATGGCATATCCATCAGTTTATCCT